AAATAAATCTTTAAAAAAAAAAAAGTTTCTAAGTACCATTGTTTTACATCCTTGCTAGTGTTTTGACAGTATAGGATTCCCTCTCTCTGGAGTAGTCACCTTAGCACTCCCACCATCTAAGCACCCTGACTCTACTGTCATTCCTTGTCTCCCCCCACTCCACACACACACAAAAGTCACAGATCTATGGTTAGTTTTGAGAATGGTTTTAAAGTTTAACTTTGACTCATTAGTTTTTCTACACACCATACATAAGTGACACTATCAATTTTCAGCTTCTACATTTTAATAATTCTAAACATAATTGTTATGTACCCCTGAATTATAATTTACTTACTTGGGAGAACATCTTAATTTTAGAGAGCTGACCTGTGACAATTCACTCTCAAATGTTGATTTCAAATTCCAGATAATCTAAATCAAAAGAGAAGTATCACTCATATGAATTTTCTGGTTATAAATACTACTGAAACAGAATTTAAAATTGTAGAAAGAAAACTGTACTGTTTTCTTGCTAGTGTCTTCAAGATTTGATTTTAGACACTCAAATATAGGATATAAATAAATATTATGATTGTTTCCCCCTAAAGGAATGTAAAATCTTTTGGAGATATTAATAGATAACCAAAGACACTAGTCAATAAATGAGACATGGCTATATAAACAGAGATCAGATTAATATTATTCCTACATCAACATCCTCCAATGTTACTCTCTGTTCCTTCTGTCTCCTCTTCCTAATGAGGCTAACTAGGGTAAAGACCAAATCTTACATTTTTTTTAACCTTGTAATGCCTCACATGTAGTACACAGGAAATCAATACTACTGTTTTTAGAACTATATTTAGAGGGAATCCTGGCTTAGTAAAATAGTGACAATCTCTTCTCATTTCACTTAAGTTAAAGACTTTGGAGGCAACTAAACCAATGGCTTCTATTTCCTATGTGAGTTCATTCCAAATGTGATTTTCTAAGGGAAATTAAGCTCTGAGGAAATTGAGATAGCAGGATTTAAACCCCCAGAGAGTACGGTAGAACTTAGCAAAGAGGAACGATGGTTAACTCTGTACTTCCAAAGGATCTGATAAAGAAACATGTTTATTTCTGCCAATTCTTCCTTCTAAGTACATAATTAGATGATGGACCATGTTAGGTTAGGGCTTGGGAGAGAAGAACCTGAATAGAATCTTGAGTTAAGTATTAAGAGTTAACAGTCAAACCACTATAATAATAATAGAACTATGTTTATTTTGCTAATCGTACTTTTCATTTATTTTATTTGAGTATCCTAGAAAAAAACTTTCAGTTCAATGTTATCCTACTTGCTCCCAGATAAATAATTTAATGCACCATTTCACAAATAATAAAACTAAGCAAATTTATTAATGTTTGCTTTAGAAGTCAAACAATTAAGAATTCTAAGTTAATGCAATGTAATCTGAAAAACAAATTCTTACATCTAAAATATACTCCAAAGCATACAAAACAAACTACCAAGAAATTATTCATAAATGAGTTGTTAAATTACCTGATTCAGGTCACAATATGTTCTTAGAGAAGGTGCTGATTTTAACTCTCTTGCTATCTTCATTGCTGCATCCAAATCTTTTTTTTTCTCTTCAATGTAGCTTTTGGTCATTGCTACATTTGATAAATAATCATCTCTATTTCTCATTACTTCTTCACACAGGCTCTTTTTCCTTTATTTAAAATTCCAAAGTTATTTTGAAATATTTCATAAGCATATATATGAAACTGAATTTACATTAACTAAACAATTTCAAAAGGGAATTTTGATGAACTTAACATAATATGGTTACATGAAGCATTTAACTGAACATAAATGTATTACATTTGAAAGCTATATATATATATAAGCTATATGTATATCATATATATGAGAAAAAAGTACATTTTTAGAATGACATGTCACAACTATAGCTGTCCCTTAGTCTCTTAATGATTTAATCTAAAAGTGGAATTCTTGCCTATCTTGAAGCCACTTGTGCCATTACACTTGGTCTGGAGCTGGCAGCGGTTATTTATTCTTTCCCTCAAAACAAAAGGAGCATACAGGCCTTGTTCTAACTTGTTTGAGGACACAATTAAAAGTTAGTTAATTTCACCTACTTCTAATTTAGGCAGTGAAAAGCAGAAACTGCTTAGGATGACTGTAAGAAGACAGATACCCAATCAAGAGGTTACAGGTAATGACATACACTAATCTGAAGCTCAGAGGAGAATCTGGGGTGAAACTTTGGGAAATTATAATATTCACAGGTAGTTGTGTATACAAAGGAACAGAAAAATCTAAACTCAGACACAACCAAGGTACATGTTCAAAAAGACTTTAAGTCTTCCTTTCAGGCTGATTTCAAAGCTTAGAAACTGCTTAATACTAAGTGAAGGGGTTTTCAAAAAATCAGTCTATAAAGGCCAGGGGAGGTAGGTATTTTTTAAATGCTCAAATTTTCAAAAGACAAAGGTATAGAAAAAACATGACTCATTCAGAGGAAAAAAACAGAGTGCCAGAAGCCATGCCTGCACAAAGACTTCTAAACACTGTTTCAATCATGTTCACAGAATTAAAGAAAGACATGGACAGAAAAATTTAGGGAATAAAGAAAATACATACTAAAATGGTAATATTAACAAAAGGGTAGAAATCATAATAAGATACCAAACAGAAAATCCAGAGATCAAAAGCACAATAATTGAAATGAAAAAATCATTATAAGGGTGCCACTGCAGACTTTAACAGGAATGAGAAAGCAGCAACACTTTCAAATAGGGCAACTGAAATGATTAAGTCTAAGGAACCGAAAGCAAAATGAATGCAATGAAGTGAACAGAGACAAAGGGACTTGAGAGACAACCTGACGAGGACCAACATACAGATTAAAGGAATCCCAAACGGAGAACAGAGATTATTTAAAGAAATGACTAAAATCTTCTAAAATTACATAAGTGTATGAATTTAGAAATCCAAAGAAAACTAAGTGGAACAAAGTCAAAGACACCCTGCTGAGACAGTGAGATACAATATAATCAAACTGTTGAAAGAATTTGAAAGCAGCAAGAGAAATACAATGAATCATGTTACATGGAAGGTTCCTTGAATTTATCAATTTCTCAGCAGAAACAAGAAGGCAGTGATTTGACTTATTTAAATTACTTAAAAAAGTACTACTAACTGAAAATTCTAAGTTTGGCAAGGTTGCCTTTCAAATAATATGGGAGGAAATAAAATACACAAGCAAAAGCTGAGGGAGCTAATTACCAACATAGCTATCCTACAAGAAAAGCTAAAGTTGAGGATGTGTTTTATTTTCTCCCATGTTATTTGAAAGACAGCCAAAGGGCACAAAAACATTAATTCAAAAGCAGACTTGTTTGTATATTTATTGCAGCATTATATATAATAAGTAATACATGGAAACAACCCAAATGCCCAAAAATAGATGACTGGATCAAGAAGATGTGGTGATTATACACACAATGGAATACTATTCAGCAATCAACACTGAGATTATGCTCAGTGAAATAAGCAGAAGGAAAAGAAAAATATTGGATATTTCACTGATAGGAGGAATAGAAGAGAATCAAGTAAGGAATCAGGAGAAAAAGTAACAAAAAAATAGTGGGCAACTGTAAATCAGAGACATTCTTGGGGGTTGGGGGAGTGTGGTTAGGGAGGGATAAGAACAGAGAGGGAAGGGTATAGGGGACTATGATGATAGTGCATGGGTGAATTGGTGGCAGGAATTCCAATACAAAAGCTAAAGGCATTTGCCAATACTAGACCTCTCCTACAACAAAAGTTAGAGCAGTTCTTATATAAAAATTGAGAAACAAAACTCAATAAAGAAATGGACAGGAACAGAAAATTAATTAAAAACGGTTAATAGCAAACCCTCATCTATCAATACACTTTCTATTATAGATGGACTAAAGTCAATCAAAAGGCACTGAACGGCAGCATAGATTAAAAAACAAACACAACTATATGCGGCTCATTAAAGACTGAAACTGTAAAGACAAGCTCTCAAAGTAAAGGGGAGAAAACAGGTACTCCAAGTTAATGGGAAATTAAAAATGTAGGGACCACTATACTTAAATCACACAATATAGATTTCCATATAGACAGACATTGATGGCTACACAATTAACAGTAGGGAACTTTTTAACATTCAACTTACAGCAACAGACTATACAAATAGAAAAATCACCATAAAAACAATGGTCTTAAAGGTAAAAGCAGATGAAATGCAGGTAATAGGTATTTTCAGTACAGTCCACCCCACCCCAAAATAACAGAATACACATTTTCAAATGCTCATGGAATATTATTAAAGATAGATTATAAGTTGGTACACAAAACAAGTCGTGACATACTTATGAATGCTAAAATCCTAGCAAGCATCTTTTTGGATTATAATGCTATGAAATTAGAAATCAACCAAAACGAAAGAGGAGAAACAATACATTTGTGAATTAACAGCATACTACTGAAGAACCACTGGGCCAATACGGAAATCACAGATAAAATGAAAAAATACCTGAACATGTATGAAAATGAACACACAACTCATCAAAACCTATAGGATACAGCAAAATAAATACTAAGTGGGAAGTTTATGGCAAACAAAAAGAATCACAATTTAAACTTATATGGAAAGGAACTGAAAAAAACAATAGCAAAATCAAAAGTAGGCAGATGGAGGGACAAAAAAACCAGAACTCTACAAGCTAAAAATAGAATTTCAGGATTTTTTATGATTTACATTTTCCAGGAGATTTAACACTCAAGAGAAAGTCACAGAAGTAGAACAAGTCAAGTGCAACAATGATTCAGTGTAAGTGAATATGCAGATGTACAAAGAACCTGGTAGAGAAGAAAAACAAAATTTAAAAAATGAAAAAAAAAAAAAAAACACTCCGAGATCTGACTCCATGAGAAATCCCAACCAAAAAATTCCTCTCTGGAATACCAGAAAGGAAGAGAAAAAGAACAGAAAATGTGCTTAAAGAAATAATGAAGGAAAACATTCTAAAACTATAGAAGGAAACAAATGTACAAATATAGGCAGCTAAAAGAACCCTGATATATCCAGATAAAATGAGATTAGCAGGACATACAATGGTGAGAGTTCTAAAAACTCAGGACAAAAGAATACTGAAGTTGGCGAGGGGGAGGAAGCAGATAACGTAAAATGGTATCCTGATCAGGCCAACATCAGACTTCTCTGAAGAAACATGACAACTAAGGAGAGAATGAAATGGTGTATTCTATAGTCAAGAATACTCTATTCTGCAAGATTCTTCAGCATATATGGTAGAAAAATAAAGACCTTTTCTGAAATAGAGAAGTTCAAAGAGTTTGTGAATAAACCATTCCTTCAAGAAATATTACACACTGAAAATGAAAAGAGGAATGTTAACAAAAGAAATAAGGAAATAGATTAAGATTCTATCAAAAACTATCACAAAATAATTTATCACAAAAATTAAGAATAAAATGGTAGCAATGGACTATACATATCAGTAACTATTCTAAACATAAACATAAACACCAGTAAAAGACATAGAGGGGGCCATCCTTGGTGGTGATTAAAACACAGCAATAAGAAGCTAAAGCCACTTCAGCATGAGTTTGATCCCCGCCCACCGTGGGGGAAACCACATGGTGCAGCAGACCTCTCCTGACCTGCCTATTGCTTCCGTCAACAGTGTACTTCGTCAGTCTGCCTGTTCTGCTCTCCACTCTGTCTCTGATGAGTCCTCTCATTGCCCCTGCACCTCTGGTCTGCACCCCAGTTCTGTATTCATAAATAAATATTAAACACACACACACACACACACACACACAGAGGGAGAGTCCAACAAGGCAGAGAACCTAGGATCAAACTCTCTCCTAAAATAAGGACTGAGAACAAATATTTAGCAAAACCCAGATAACTGAAACCAGTTCTACACCACCAGCAACTCTACAGGACTGCCAAGAAGCAAGAAGGGGACAAAAAAAAGGAGTCCTTTTTCTGCAGGCACCGGTCTACACAGGGAAGTCCAGCCCACCAAATAAGCCAAGGCTGAGAGGACTGTCAGCCCAGAACCTCCAGAGCAGAGAGAAATGATTTTTCACTTTATTTTCTTTTCATTGAGAAGCAACTTAAGAGTAATCCCTCATGGGAGATGCATCTCACTCAGTGCTTTGATATCACCTAGTGAACAGGGCCAGAACACCAGCCACTAGTGCCTCTTAAGCAGAGAGAACTTGAAAGACCAAATGCTGGCCATACCACTCAACCAGCCAGGTCACAAGTGGAACCTTGCAGTTGCCATGCCATGCATAGGGAAACCTCAGCTGTCCACAGCCACATCAGGAAATGTATTCCACTCAGTATACTGCATGCACCAGTGGACAGGGGCACAGCTGGAGCCTTGAAGGGCTGGGCCCTACATCAAGGACCTTTAGATACCGCAAGTGGTCTGGTCAACAGAAGCCAGGGGAGCACCCACCACCCAAGTCTAGCTGCCAACAATATGCAGATCTACACATACCAAGTTAAGAATGCTGGGACATCCTGCTCGCAAGCAGCAGCAGACTGGTCAATGGGTGCCGTAGGAACCCATACTGCTGAACCTGGCAGGATGCAGATACATCCACAGGCCATCAGAAGGGTGGGAGCTGAGGGGAGAG